TGCGAGCTTCTGGAAACCTCCGGCAGGGCCGCCCAGTAAGAGCCCTTGAGAACAGGGCCGCTCAAGAGCCCCGCACTGGATTTATCAACCGCGTTTGGAGAGCAGCACAGCCAGGACAAATATCTTGCAATTTCCGCCACTTCAACTACTACATAGTTTATGCTTGAATTATTGAGAAAAATAGGTTTTTGGATTAGAATGAAGAAAAATTAAGCTGAGGAAGTAGAGCATGTTTCAAAGCCCAGACCCTTCTGCTGTGACAAAGGAGGCCTGAGTGTCAGGCCTCGCTGAGGGTCAGATGAAGTCATTATTCATTCAGTCAGGGAAAAAAGACTCAATTACCTCAACCTAAAGATGCTATCAATGAATGCAAAGTGCATATTTTACTCTATTCATCCAAATCCCATTAAAAAGTGAAAGGAATGATTTAATCTGGCCTTGCAGAGTTGGTCTTTTTTCTGTAATAAAATAAAGAATCACTGTCTTGCAAAATGCATAACCACTACCTCACATTCTCCCTGCATCCCAGCAGTGAAAGACTGTAAGCACAGGGACAGAAACAGTCAGAAATGAGTACAAAGTTTCCTTTGAAAAAATGCCGCATAGAGGACCGCAATGAGAAGCAGCCCGCTGCACACTGCTGTGCAGAGAACTCCAAGTATTCATACCTTTCTGACCAGGACGCAGGCGCTCAACTGCCTGACTCCCGCTAGGCGCGGTCCTCTCCCACACCCCTCGGACCCAAAGGGAAGCTTCATCACTTTGAACTTTTTAAGTTTACAGAGCAAAATACAACTTTTCAATCACGGGTTGTTCTTTGCATTCTTTCAGGTAGCCCTTGTTGAACTAGGATTATTCTTCCTGGAAAATCACTGCAACCAAGCTACAGTATATAGCATGATCTAAATTTGCTGGGTTTTTTTGGTCAATTCTAATAAAGTCCACTTTTAGTTAATAGTTAATATTTTTATACTCATTTCTCTAAAACATGCTTAAAAAGTTTCTACAACTCGCTTAAAATGCAATCTGGACTCTTAAAAACAATATTCAGTATAAAAACTAGTTAACTCGTAAACTTAAAGAAGATGGTAACTTCACTTTGATGTGAATCTCTTCCTTCTTTAAAAAATTTCTTTAAACACCTGAACAGAGCAAATACCTTTCGCTGTGATTGTAAAACCTTTCTACCCATAAAATATATTAATCACTCGAAGTAATTATGACTGTGTAAGAAAAGGTAAATTATGTACACTAGCAAGCAATTTTCAACATTTATTGTAATTTCCTATATTAGTAAAGCAAATTTTCTTCTACTTGTCATAATATTTGTTTTATTTGAAACAACTGTGATAACAAAATTAAATACGCTACTGGAAATTTTAATCTCCAGGGGAAAATTTGTGCATAATGTCTAAGATACCACAATGGTTCTGCAAAGGGGCTGTTCTAGGATAATGAACACAATAATTGCCTGTATAATCTAAAATGCTACTAATGGCAACGATCACAAATCCATTTAGCTCCTCTTTAATTTATGTACCAAGTTTTAAATAGCTAATGGTTCTCAGTAAAATAATGGTTTATACCAACACTAAAGGGTAAATACGGTATTCTCCTGCTTAATCAAGAAAAGATCAGCCAGGTTTTTGTAAATGTAGGAATGAGAGCCCGCCTTATCTCTGAGACGCAGCGCTGTCCCATCCATCTCAGAGTGAAACCCCTACCGCGCTACCAGGTCCCTAAGAAGTCAATGTACACCCCAAACTGGAACAAAGGTCTCGTGCTATACAAACTTAGAGACAAAACAATGGGCCTTGACACCCACTAAGTGCTGACCATATGGTATTATCCCTGGAGGAGCATGATGTGAACATCAAAATGTTTTCACCATTCTTTTAAAACTCACATTTAACTCACCTGTTACACAGAAGTATTTTAGAATAACTAAACAGTAAGATGTGAAATGTCAAAAAGCCAATTTAAACTCTTGCAAGGAGCTAAATAATATTTTAATTTGTCCTATATTATCCCTGTACATGGATCACATTTTGAAACACAGAAAAGCCTCCAATCTAAAAGCCTAAGAGCTAATTTACTCAAGACGACTCTACACGGGCAGAAGTACGGCGTTATACATGAAAGATCACTTAGGGGAAAAAATAACGTTGTTAACGCTGTTTATCTTTTAGCAGCTAAACTACTCTTGGACCAGCCCACCGGTTCCTCATCATTCAGAATTTGGATCTTGACTAGAAAACTGAGACAGGGCGACACTTTAACCTAATTGAAATTCCTATAAAAAGCACATTCCTTTTAAATATCTTTGAAACAAATCAGCCCTGTATTTTCTACTTTTAGTAGAATCTTAAGAAACAAGAAAAAAATAAGTCATCTACAGACCTTCATTTGTACTTATGTATTTCAAATAATTGAAACTCATTTAACTCCTAATTCTTACAGCAATAACTTTTTCCATTTTGGAGTTTCAATAGAAAGTATTAGTTTTTAAAAAGTGATGCTATATAGCCTTTTATTTTTTTCCTCAAGTCTATTTACTTACTCATCTTTGGACATGAACTACTAAGTCTGAAGTGTCTGCTGCATACACAGCCTGGCCACACACTGCAGCCGTGTTTGAGCTATTACTGCTTACCGCCCCAGTGATCTGCGAAATAAGCAGCGTTTCTCTGAGCCATTTTAGTCTATTGGCTCAATAATCTGTGCTTTTAAAAGCTCCCTAAAGAAGTATCAGTACGAAAATTCTTAATGTTAAAATATATCACCTTAATTTTTAAAAATAAGAATGTATATTTACACAATACACATTTTAAAAGTCTGTTGTTAGAGAATATTTCATATCCTACATTTTTACCTACCAACAAATTTTGCCTGACTCTCCTATATTCAGCAACTAAGGTTTCTTCCCGTGCTTCTTATACAGTTATTACATAAGATGGTTTTCCTTAAGTGTTGAACATTTAAAAAGAAAATGGGGTTGTTATATTTTTTACAGGAACAAAAAAGTACTAGTGGGAGGATCAGCTATTCAGCAAGAAGTAAAACCACTTTGCATATCAACGGGAGAAACTTAAGAGAGGAGACAGGAGATTCAAGGCA